TAGTGCTTATCACTTGAAAAATGTGACTTCTCCTGTAGAATTGTGGTATAGCAAAATATGGACTGTCCTTGTAATGGAAAAGCTTTACATCAAGTATGGACACAAGAGAAGTGCCCAAAAGAGGTAATTTGGTCACCCTTTTTACAGTACTTGGAGGAGGAGAACGCCCCAGCCAGCAAGCCAGAATCTTTAGCCAGGTTCTTTGAGTATTAACCTGATACTAAATGAGGTAGTAAGTAAGGTATGATTATGTTTTATTGTAACCTTGCCTTAATAAAAAGTTTTAAAAAATCAACTGACTTGTAATTTTGGGGGAGGCCTTATGAAAACCTTGGTATAGGGCTCAACTGTGCACGCCCTGCTGGAAGACAATGAATGTTTTGGATATATGAGGAATGCCGGATCAGGCCTTTTATGTCATTTTCTAAACGCCCATAGATTCTTTCTCCTGCTTCTGACAGGAAGTCTGGGAATACTGGCCTGAGATGACATGGGAGAGCTCCGGGCACACACTAATCAAGACTCTATGCAGCAGCCGCCGCCGGTAGCAGGACTCTGAAGAAGTGGTCCTCCTGCAATTAAGAAATCCTTGTTTTCTGAGAGACAGGTGACTACCCCAATAGAACTGTGCCCACTGGGTAGCAGAATGCAGCTGTGTGCAGTGGGTTAAAATTCATTTCAGACTCCATGACCTCTTGGGAGCCTTTACTAATGCATCTGAAAGTACGTTACTCAAAAGTGAATGAAAGAACCTGGGGGATTGGTGAATGGCTAATATTTATATAGTGCCTTTCATCCAAAGGTCCCAGAGTGCTCAGCAAATTTACAAAGTGTATGTGTACACAGAGCTCACTCCAGCCCGCATGTTATGAGGTAGACTGTGGCCGATTTTAAACAGTGCACAGTAACATTTTCTATCTAGTTTATCTATAAAAGGTATTTGCCTGATGGTCGAAGCCTGGGTTGCTGTGGCCTGAGCATTGTTGCAGAGAACAATTTCCTTGAAGGGGGGAATCTGAGGTAGCTATATTGAACTCCATTATGGCTTTATACATTGTGTTCAGGATGTCAGCTGTACCAGTGTAAATTAGAGCAGTCTTAGGGCAGTCTAGCTTAAATGTGGCTGCCAGCAATAACCCTGAGGAGCTGTTCTGGTAGCCAAAAATAGCAAGACTGCAGCAGTGCCAGAGCTTTTAAACCATTCAAAGATCTACTCGAATTATTCTCCAGGGTCCGTATCTACTAACTTTTTGCTCGCACTACCTCATTGGAGCAGCACAAAGGGGCTGTAACAGAATGTACAGTTAGGCCCTGTGTGTCTGTCTGAACTGTATTAAGTTAGAAGGAAGGATCCAAGGAGCAGGGACTGAGGTGTCTTCTATATTTTGTACAGTACTGACCAGGGCCGGCTCTAGGATTTTTGCTGCCCAAAGCAAAAACAATTTTGGCCGCCTCCCCCCACCCGTTCTTTAATTACTCCACCCCCGGCCCCGCCTCAACTCCGCCCCTTCCCCAAATCCCCAGCCCTGCCTCCTCCCCCCGGGCTCTCAAGCCTAGGAGGGAGGGAGGGGGAGAAGC